CTCCTCTCGTCGAGGGTGCGGTCGACGAGTCGTCAGAGGAGGAGGCTGAGGTTGTCGACCCTCCGGCCACGGGGAGAGGGCGAGTCCTGTGGCGGGCCACTTCCGGCGAGCCGGTCCGGCCCATCAAGGCTGCGCGGCGGCCAAAGTCTCCGGAGGAGTTCGCACGTCATACGAGGGCCGCGGGGGCGAAGATGGTGGTGAAGGCCGCGGTGGCGAAGAAGAGAGCATGTGCCTCCTCTTCATCCAAGCGTGTGCAGACTCCGCCCTCCTCCCCTCCTCCGGCAGACATCGACGCAGAGGTCACCTTTGACTTCGGGTCCCTCAGCCCGAGGAAGAAGAGGAAGGCAACAGAGGAGGAGGTGGATGACGAGTAAGTATCTTGCTCCTTTCTGTCATCTCCGTCTCCTGAATATGTTCCGCTTGTCTTGACTTGTTTTCACCTTTGCAAGGATGCGGAGACGCTGGCCCAGAGGGTGAAGAGGTCCAAGGCCTCGGCAGGCGGCCAGCCCCCGGCGGGTACTCCGAGGGCACGATTGGTGGTGTTGAGCAGCCCGGACAGCAGCCCTTGGAACAGCCCCCAGCGTAAGTTCATCACTCACCCCTCGTCAACATGTGTCGGGGGTACGATCCCTTGGTGCTGACCTTGTTGTGGTCGCAGGAGCAGGACAGCAGCAGGAGGAGCCACAGAGGGCTACCCCCAACATGCCTCCCCCATCGACCACGCCGCCTTGAGGGGCATCTCCGACAAGGGCGGCAAGCACCGAGCCCACACACATGAAGGAGGAGGAGGAGAGCTCGGACGCCGGTGGCTTCGCCTTGGCGCCAAATGTTGTTGAGGAGGGGACCTCTGCTCCCTAGCCCGGCGCTGGTAAGCCGTTCGCCTTTCGTCCCTTCTCTTTTTCTTTCCTTGCTGGCTCTTGGTCTTGGATTTGCCTCATCCCTTTCTTGGTATCCAGATCGTCCATCGGTGGACCAGGAGGACATAGATGCCGTCATCGAGGATGTCTGCAAGGACGCCGCGGCAGAGGCTGAGAAGATCGCTACCGAGAAGACCGCCAAGGGCGCTGCCGAAGACGCCGCCAAGGGGCCCGCCGGGGAGCCCGGAAAGGGGCCTGCAGGGGAGGCCGGCAAGGCAGCCACCGAGGAGGAGGTGGTCAATGACCAGCCTTCCTCCTTTGCTGCCTCCGGCTCCGGCAGGTATCTGAGGGTGACCGATGACCTCTTCGTCCACCTCCCAGGGGCGTCCAGCTCCAGGGCGCCCATCGAGGGAGAGGTGTTCGACGAAGAGGTGCTTGCCGCCGCCGGGCTTGAGGTCGTCGACGAGCCGAGCGCCGGTGGCGACGGCTCTCAGGAGGAGCGGCTTCTCCAGGCCATGGACGCCAATTTCTGGAAGCTCCAGGCACTCCACCGTGCCCGCCTGGACAAGGCCAAGTCCAGGATGGCAACGGTGGACAAGGCGGAGGTGGACCTCAAGGTGCGCGTCGCCGAGGCGCAGACTTGGTTCCGCCGAGCTAGTGAAGAGCTGAAGGCTGCCCAGGGCGAGCTGGCCAAGCGCGACGTGGAGCTCACCATGAAGCTGGCCGACATCAAGAAGGCCTAAGAGACGGCCGAGAGCTTGGCCGCTGCAGCTGAAGCCGCTCGAACCCAGCACTAGGACGCGCTGAACTTCCAGGAAGAGGATCTTGCCAAACGCGAGGCGGATATCGATGCCAAACTCCGCGCCAAGGACAAGGAGGTGGAGAAACTTGTCATGCAGCGGTCCCAATAGCTGGAGCAGAGGCACAGGGAGGCGCTCGATGCCCAGGCTCTGGTTCACGCCGGGAAGGTGAAGGAGCTGGAGGTGGAGCGGGAAGAGCTGAAGGTCCAGGCCCTGAAGCTGTCCCATGAGAAGGACACGCTCAACGACGCCTTGACGAAGGTGCAGGGCGCGGCCGTCAGCAGGGCCGGGGAGCTCTCCAAGGCCAACAACTCCATCAAAGACCTCAAGCTGAAGTGGAGGGTCTCGAGGGTATGCTGTCGGAGAGCAAGGCCCGGGAAGAGATCCTCGCCAAGGATCTGGAGGCCGAGAAGCTGCAGCGAAATAACGAAGCCGCCAGCCATAAGGATTTTATGGAGGGCAAAAATCGCTGGATCAGCCGCCTCGAGGACGTTGCCGGCAGGATCACCACGCAGCCGGCTACCATGGGGATGCCAAATGTGAGGTACGCCCCAGAGCACAGCGGGACTACCAACGCCAAGCTGGCCCTGTTTTCCGAGGGTGTTCTCGGGGCCCTGGAGCAATTCCACTCCAACAGGGCGGCTTTACTGGCCGACGATAACCGAAGGCTCTGCCGGGGTGCCATGACCAAGGTCCTCACCAAGGTGGCGTACTGGAACCCCACCCTTGACTTCGACGCCGCGCTGGAGAGCTTGCCGGAGGGTACTGACCTCGCGCCGCTCAAGGAGCGTATCGAGCCCAGCATCAGCCTCATCGACGGAATTCAAAGGATGGAGGGCCAGCGTCGGGATTAGGCACCTCGTTTCTTATCGCCGCTGCAGGTTCATGACCAAGACGATTTCAATCTTTAGTTAAAACCGCAGCTACAATTTGATGTAATATAACTCTGCAGTACTTTTGGTACAATGCATGTTATTTTCCCGTTCGATTTCCCTTTGCATGTCCACCCTACGTTAACCGGGTAGGCTTGCCGGCGCGTAAACCCAGGGCGGTGTCTTGAGGACGGATCCCCATTGGCTTGCCGGGTGTGCTTGCCGCCGGGCAAACCACCTTACCGCCCTTAACGCGGCCGCCCGACCTATCGAGCTTGACTCGAGTCAGAATTGAGAGTGTTGCCAAGTGCGGAAGGCTACCTTGCCACTCTCGTCGCGGCCACTTGAGCTGTTGAGCGGACTCGAAACAGAACAAGGGTGTTGCCAATTGCGGGAGGGCCCCTTTGCGTGCAGGTTTTCCATACATAGGCAGGATCTCCGAGGACAATAACCTTATGTATAAAAGGAAATTGTTCAAGGCTCTGGATGACTATGCTTTTCCATTACCGCGCTGGTGTCCTCCGCGCTTGCAGGCGGCGCCGTTTTCTCCTGGTCGTCTTCTTCTTGGGAGCCATGGCAATGAAAAAATGCTAGGATAACTACTAGACAAGATTCTCAGAATTGCGCCCCCTACCTGGCGCCAAAGATGTCAGTGGGAAACGATACCTATGGGATCACAAGAATCCCTACTACGGTTGCTGGGGCGCAGGGTTGTGAGAAGAGCAGGAATAACAGTCAACACAAGGATCATTTACCCAGGTTCGGGCCGCGAGGATGCGTAATACCCTAGTCCTGCTTTGGTGGATGTATTGAAAGAGTTCTCGAGCTTTCGAACTAGGTATGGTGGCTGCGTAGTCCAAAAAAGCCGAATCTCTCTCCACTATGCCACGGGCCTCCTTTTATAGTCGAAAGGGGCTGCCACAGTGGCATACAGGAGGTGGAAAGGTCTACAGTGCTATGACCTTATCGCCCGTGTTACATGACAAGACGCATTAAGTGCGTAGCTTAGGTGTCCCTTAGCTTTATCGGGGGCGGGAACAAGGCCCATCCCGTTCGTCGTGGCCTCAACTTGTTTTGACACGCGCCCAGGCCAGGGATGCATGTGGCGCCATGTAGACAGGCAAGCAGCTAAGGTGGCGCGGTGGTAGGGTCTTCACGAAGATCTGCATGCCACCAGGTAGGTGCTTACTGAGTTGGCTCGGAAGCCGCCCGTCGCCACACAGGTGCCTGCCCAGCTGGTTGAGCTAGCAGCTGCTTGGGGACGGTGGTGGAGTCTTGGCCGACGCGGGCCTGGCTGTGGCCCTGCTGATGTTCTCGGCAAGGGCCTTGCCGGGGGCTCGGCAAGGGTCTTGCCGTGGCGTTGCAGTCGTCCCCGGTAAGGGTCTTGCCGGAGGTCTTGTGGCTTTCCTCGGCAAGGATCTTGCCGAGGGTCGCCGTCTTCTGATCCCCATTTGAACTTGTGCGTTCATGATCTTGACGAAGATCTGCATGCCACCTCAGAGGTGCCTCCCGAGCCCCCTGTGTCCAACGTAGTTGGTTGGATCGGAACCCGTGGGCTCAAGGGTGGCTCGCCCTGTTGGTGTTGGGCAAGTTGCCCCGGCAAGGCTCTTGCCGGGGCCGCGGAGGTCGCCCCGACAAGAATCTTGCCGGGGGAGTCCACCTCGCCCCTTTGCTCTTGTGTATCTGACCTTGGCATTGTCTTGGTTGTCTTGTACTTCGGCTTCTCTGTGGCTTCCCTCCGTGGTCCTACTATGTGTGGCCGCGGCGCGTGGCTCTAACTGCCCGTGCACAAGTAAAGGAGTCAAAAGGAGAGCCACTACTTTTGTACACCGATACAGAACCTTACGGCTCTTTTAGGTAGTAGAGATAAAAGTGACCATGTTTACCCCTAAAAAAAATCGTACGTAAGATACATGCATGTGACCGTTGGGCCACGCTCCTTGCGATCAGACGGCTATGCACATCGCGAACAGACGGCCACGCACGCGGTTTATGCAATCTTTGGATCAGTCGGCTTAATTTGATCTGTTTCCAACTAACAAATAAGAAATATCAGTTGTCAAAAAAAAATCAAATCAGTTCAATCGTTTCCGTTTCTGAAAGGTCTAATGTTGATGACATTTATTTATTTTTGGCTGGCGGAGAAAAGGAATCAATTGATCACCTGCCTGTCTTGCCACTCGAATGCTTCATCCTAAACTCCTAATTAACATGCAATCACTAATCATCTTGTAGCATCAACTTAATTACCGGCTTCCAAGTGTACTACTACTACTACTACTAATCCGGTTCGCTCAAAAAGAAAAGGTATACCACTGATCTCTCGCCAATCAAATCTGCAATTCCTGTAAAACAAATCCTTACTTACCACTTTTGAAACACACTGCCCGCTATTAATACTGCCCTTAGAAGAAGATGGAGTTAGGAATTAGGAACTTACAGTAGGAAACAAACAATCTCAATCAAAATCAATGGTGTGCAGCATGTGTCGCGCCCTTTTGCTCCTTGGCCTCTTCCTGATCCTGACGCCGCTGGTGTGTGGGTACACCGACGGCGGGTTCAGCGTGGAGCTCATCCACCGGGACTCCCCCAGGTCGCCGTTCCACGACCCGTCGCTCACCCCGCACGGCCGCGTGCTTGCCGCCGTGCGGCGCTCGTACGCCGGCTCAGGCTCTCCTGACCCTGACGGCGCGGTGTCGGAGGTGATCTCAGGCACGTTCCAGTTCTTCATGTACGTCAACGTCGGCACGCCGCGCACCCGGATGCTGACCCTCGTCGACACCGGCAGCGACCTCGTGTGGCTCAGATGGACCAACGGTTCTGCTTCTCCGGCACCAGCAGCAGCAGCCGGCGGGACGAGCAGCGTGTTCGACCTGTCCTCCTCGTCGACCTACGGCCGCGTGGGCTGCCAGTCCGACTCGTGCCACTCGGTCCATGGCACCTCCTGTGACGCCACCTCCTTGTGTCAGTACAGCTACTCGTACGTGGGCGGCTCAAGCAGTAGCGGCCTCGTCTCCACCGAGACCTTCACCTTCGACGACGCTCCCGGCGGCCGCGAGCTGCAAGTGCCCAGAGTCAACTTCGGCTGCGCCACCACCGCCAACTTCGCCGGTTATGGCATCGTAGGCCTCTCGGACGGGAAATCTTCCCTCATCAACCAGATGAGCGCGGCGACGTCGCTCGGCCGGAGGTTCTCCTACTGCCTCGTGCCCTACTTAAGCGACGCGTCCTCGGCACTCAACTTCGGGTCCCGCGCCACCGTGACGGAGCCGGGCGCGGTGAGCACGCCGATGGTCCACTCCCCCGTGCACGTGGAGGCTTCCTACACAGTCGAAATCATGGCCCTTAGGGTTGGGAACTCGATCATCAAGCTGCCGAATTCGAAGCGGTCCCCCGTCATCGTCGACTCCGGGTCGATGCTGACGTCCCTCGACGGGGAGCTGCTGGACCCCATCGTGGAGGCGCTCACCCGGAGCATCAAGCTCCCGCGCAAGCAGTCGCCCAACCCGGAGCTGTTTTCGGTGTGCTATGAGGCGGACGGCATGAAGGCGCTGGAGAAGGTTTTCCCGGACGTCACCTTGGAGCTGGGCGGGGGCGCCTTGGTCACGCTCAAGGCAGAGAACGTGTTCATGGACCTTCTGCTACAGACCGTGTGCTTGGCCATCGTTCCAGTGAAGTACGAGGGTTCGGTTCCGACGATCGGCAGCGTCATGCAGCACAACATGCATGTCGGCTACGACCTCGACAAGCGCACCATCACCTTCGCCCCTGCCGACTGCGCCACCTCTTACCCTTCTCCTCCCGCCTCTCTTGTGTAGCTGGCTAGCTAAAGCTAATCGCCAGGTAGTAATAATCACTAGGTTTAGTTTTTTTTAAGAGTGAAAAAAGAAACAAACTCTTGAATGAATGAGTTTTTTTTTTGAGGGAAACAATGAAGTAGCTTTTGAACGCTCCAAACCGAATCAGGATAACAAGGTGAAAAATCCTCCCTGTAACATCCAAACTCAAGAGAACAAGGACAAGAAGCAAACAATCTAACATTTCCATTATTACAAACAGAGATTACCAGCAGGTCAAAAATCCTCCCTGTAACATCCAAATTCTCAAAGAAAAATCCATATGTCGAAAAGCGAGTCTACATAGAAACAACAGACTTGTTATTTCACATCTAGACTAGATGTGAAATAGTTATCTCGCATCTTACTTTCTAACCATATGATTTAGACAGCAAAGATTCATGTTCTTTTGTATTTTTTTGTTGCCGCTGTAGTTCTATATCCATTGAAAGATGTTGATTTCCTCAATATGGTTTACGGTTTTGACTAATTAACTATGTATACTAGGAGAATGCCCGTGCGTTGCTACAGGCAAAAGCCGGATGACCATGCATTGCCATGAAATAATAGAAACATGCACATTACTATGTTATAAGGTGTATTAGTTTTTTCTTGAACTATGTTATGAATTTGACTTCAAATTTGTGACACGAGTGTTCCATCTTGCAAATACGGTCTATCCCATGTAATTCATATATTTTTTAGATTTTCTTTTCAAAAAATATTTAAGAATGTCAAGCATATTTACTAGATGTTTTCTCAAAACATTCAAGGATGCCAACAAAAGGACCGTGTGCACAAGATATTCACCCTTTGGCTGGTCCCCCTCTAGCATTTTTTTCCTTCTTGGACTTAATCACACTACTTCACGTTCTGTGTTGGATCTTGTCGGTAACGCATGCTCCAGCTCTGTTCTAAAAAAGCAGCTAAACCTTTTGCTAAGTACCTGGCCCACTCCTTCGACTACCATCTAAATTCAAAAGCTCTTACACCCTAAAAATTAATAATGTTAATTAGAAACACAGAAGAGCCAATGCACCATCAAATGCAACCTTCAATAAAAAGCTGATTGTATATAGGAAAGGTTTCATTTATCTTGAATAAAGATTTTTTTTTTACAATGTCATGAACCTGGTGCCAACGGCGTACTCGCAGCGGCCGATGAGCCTTTGGCCACTGCCTACACCACGCTCGCGCACGCCACTCCGCTGCTGCCGCAAGCACCGGCCACACACTCCCTGCCGCGAGCAGCCGAAATGATGGAACTCCATGCCATCATAAGCCAATCCAGATGTTGAAGGCTAGTACGACATCCCATATTTGAGGATTCCACCCGGAAGATTGCACTCAACATGCCAGTTGAAACCAAGATTAATAATATAAATACAAAAAAAATAAAGATAAACAGGAATAGGTTGTTGATGGCCTGCTCAGTTTGGTCCCTCTATATAGGCAATAATTTATAGTTCAATTAGACCCAACAAGTTCGTTACCTTTGTAGAGAAAAAAATTGGTTCCCCTGGTATTTAGCGCCAGCGACAATTTCCTACTGCAGCGACACCCTGACATGGCCTTACTTAAGCTCCTTTTCGTTCTTGTCCTTGTTCTAGTTCCGGTCCGGCAAACCATACCATCTTCCAAATATTATTAATCTCTGCAAAGAAAAATAGGCACCAGAAAATCATCACCACATCACGCATGCGGGAGCAAATCGTACCAAATGTACAGCTGGAAGAGCCACACGCAATAATTTTCTCAATGACAACATTATTTAGAGCAAATTTGACAAATGGAAGAAGTTTGCGTCATGGGCTGGATGAAAGAACATAGACATCTGTAGCCTATCCTAAAATATAGCATGGAGATGAGTTTGTATATTTGTGTGGAAACTGGAAATACTCTTACATGATTAAACATATTGAAAAATAGTTCAGAAAAATACATAACATGCACCACGACTACGAATCCATGGCCTCCCTTATCATTAAAATATCAATTAAACTCAACCATGGACGTGAAGAGCATTACCCACCCCAGAAACTTCATGTTGCTTTCTCCTCCTTGTGCAAAAAAAATATCAATAGAATGAAAACGAATGTAATGCACATGCACATGAAGATACAAATTTATTATTTTATTTTCTTGCTCTTTACAATCAGATAGCCATATTTTTCTAGAATCATACTGAGAAATAGCATGCTGCCAGTTTTGCAAGCTTATTCGGCCATTTTTATGTAGCATCGTAGAACAAAAAAAAAGGAGCACATTCGATCATTTTTATATTGTAGCATCCTAAAAGTTCTCTTGCCTTCCAATACATTTATCTTTTGTACAATCATCATATAGCTTTTAGTCTACATCCTCCCAACCTAACGCAGAATGAACAAAATCAGATATCTATACATCGGTACACTACTTAGCATATACTCCTGCCGTCCCATAATATAAGAACGTTTTTCAAGCTATATTATGGGACGGAGGGAGTAGTAGATAGAGTACTGTTTCAAATAATGGTCCCTAAGAGAAAGGTTAACGTTCCCAACCAGACTTGTGAGCATCTTCGAGCAACATACAAGCCACGGGAGTGTAATTGGATATCACAAGTGTGAAATCAATAGCTGAGCATAGCATCTCTACATGGACTAATAAAACCAAAATAAATTTCAACATACCACTGGTCCTACTACAGTGGTTGATAGTGAATTTGGTAGACGCCCATAAATGACAGTTTAGCAGTGTCTTCGACTCTATACATTTTGAGTCCCATGTTTTCAGCATTAGATATCTCCTTGGATACAATGAAATTTATGCTTCATAGGAGGATCTGCATAAAATAAATGAAGAACACTTCAGTTTCTCTTCCTTGTAAGAAGAGGTAATTCTAACGAGAACTTACTAAGGGCATTCAATCAATTCAATTCATGAAAAGTTGTGTCCGTCGGAGCTTGTTATGCCGAGTGAACCATGTTGACCTTCCCTGATCAGCATATGCATTCACGTTCTCTACTCACATAACAAAGATATGTCTGATTCTCCCGTTTATTGTACTCCCTCCGTTTCTAAATATAAGCCCTTTTAGAGATTTTAATACGGACTACATACGGATGTATATAGACATATTTAGAGTGTAGATTCACTCATTTTGCTTCGTATGTAGTCCATATTAAAATCTTTAAAAGGTCTTATATTTAAGAACGGAGGGAGTAATTGTTTATCCCAATTAGAAATTGATGGCCAGGGATCAAATGAGAATGAATAGAACCTTGAAGAACAACATCAGATATACCTTCCTCATTCTCAGGAAATTAAAACCAAGGGAGAAGAGGAAACATAGAGGGTTCTGATACGTTTCCAACGTATCTATAATTTTGATTGTTTCATGTTGTTTTATTATCAATCTTGGATGTTTTATAATCATGTTATAGTCATTTTATATCATTTTTTCGGTACTAACCTATTGACATAGTGCCAAGTGCCAGTTGCTGTTTTTTTCATGTTTTTTACATCGCAGAAAATCAATATCAAACGGAGTCCAAATGCCCCAAACCTTTTTAGAGATTTTTTATTGGCCAAAAGAAGGAAGATGGGCCCTGGTTGCACCTGGGGGGCTGTCCCGAGGAGGGGACAACCCACCAGGTCACGCCAGGAGGCTCTGTCGCGCCCTCGTGGGTTGTGCCCACCTCGGGCACCCCCCGGACCACCTTTTTGCTCTATAAATACCCAAAAATCCACAAACCCTAGTGGAGTCGACGAAATATTCATCCAGCCACCGCAGAGTCCAGAACCACCAGATCCAATCTAGACACCATCATGGAGGGGTTCACCACTTCCATTGGTGCCTCTCTGATGATGCGTGAGTAGTTATTTGTAGACCTTTGGATCCGTAGTTAGTAGCTAGATGGCTTTCTCTCTCTCGCTGAATTCTCAATACAATGGTCTCTTGGAGATCCATATGATGTAACTCTTTTTGCGGTGTGTTTGTTGGGATCTGATGAACTTCGAGTTTATGATCAGTTATATCCTTTTATATCCATGAAAGTTATTTGAGTTTCTTTGATCTCTTATATGCATGATCTCTTATAGCCTCGTATTTCTTCTCCGATATTTTGGTTTTGTTTGGCCAACTTGATCTATTTATCTTGCAATGGGAAGAGGTGCCCGGTAGTGGGTTCGATTTTACGGTGCTTGATCCTAGTGACAAGAAGATAACCGACACGTATGTATCGTTGCTACTAAGGATAAAAAGACGAGATCTATATCTACTGCCATATAGATAAACGGATCTTGTCTACATCATGTCATCGTTCTTATTGCATCACTTCGTTTTTCCATGAACTTAATACACTAGATGCATGCCGGATAGCGGTCGATGTGTGGAGCAATAGAAGTAGATGCAGGCAGGAGTCGGTCTACTAATCTTGGACGTGATGCCTATGTATTGATCATTGCCTGGATATCGTAATAATTATTTGAAGTTCTATCAATTGCCCAACAGTAATTTGTTTACCCACCGGTTGTTATTTTTCTCGAAAGAAGCCACTAGTGAAACCAGGGCCCCCGGGTCTTCTTTCTCATATTTTTGCCTTGCGATCTACTTTTCCTTTGCGTTTTTATTCAGATCTATTGAACCAAAAATACAAAAATATCATGCTGCACTTTTATTTATTTGCGATCTATTATTACAATCAAATACAATTTACCTCACGTCCTTTTGCCTATCTTGAGGCGCCGTACCCCGGAAGAGATTGACAACCCCTTTAACACGTCGGGTTGCGAGGTGTTGTTGTTTGTGTGCAGGTGTTGCTTACGTTGTGATTGCTCGGTTCTCCTACTGGTTCAATACCTTGGTTTCATAACTGAGGGAAATACCTACCGTTGTTGTGCTACATCATCCTCTCCTCTTGGGGGAAATACCGACACCGTCCTAGCGACACCATCAAGTAGAATTTCTGACGCCGTTCCCGGGGAGGATCTTCAACATA